ATCCGTGCAGATAGTTCTCTTCATGCAAAACTGCACTCGCTATTTTTATCTTAACTTAAAACGTTCTGGAAGATAGTCAGCCGGTATTATCCCAAATTACCGTTAACCAAAACCAACGGTATTCGTTCTAATGACTGGAAGCTGAAAGAATGGTTTAGAGAGCGACTCGGGTTGATAATATTCTATGTCCTTTTATTTTTTCATGCTAGATACATCTTTCGTCTTCTTGGCTGCTCTGGCTCTTTAACCCGCAGTTACGCCTAGGTCAAACCCAATGATAACAACAACCAAGGGAGTGCGGTACTATTAAGCAAAAAAAGTAGAGGAGAAACAATATACAAACCTCAAAAATGGATACAAAAAATCAAGCATGAAGATAATCTGCCAAATCGCCTTACTTTATACAAGGGAACAACAAAAGTTCAACAACAACGCCAAGCAGGGCGAAACTAGTCTTGGGAAAACGTGTGTGTTAGTGGGAGAGGGGTGTGGCTGTGTTTTTGAATGATTTCAGAAGGCCGTTCATAGGATCCCAGGATTGGTCTGAAACACCAGCACGAAAAAGAGGAGGCAAGATGAAAGTGTCAGCGGTGGGAAGGGTCGAAGGAACCCTTCGAACGCCACGTCTATCTCGTGCACAGGGTACCTGAGTGGGTGGTTAATGAATGGTTCTCAGATTAAAAGGGTCAAGACGAGGGGGTGACGGACAGCTGGTTCTCCACCACATGGTTAATTCACGGGATTTAAGCATTGTGGGAAAAGGTGCTAACAAGCAAGGGAGCCAAAACGTGAGAGGACGGCGTATTCAGTCATGTGCAATCGAGTAAAAGAATAAACACGGGAGGGCGGCAAACAGTATGTATTTGGAATTTTATAAGTGAAATCTTTGCATACATGCACATCATTTTTCAAGTGAATAAACACTTTTCCGCTACCCTTGCTAACGTGCCAACATGGTGAAGCAAATTCTTGGCATGACTGTTGAATGTCCTGAGAGCGCTTGAGGTTACAGGTGCTAAAAGTGACCTTTCACTTTAAGCACGCGACGAAAGAAATTCGGAATCTTCATCATCCAATCCTACCGAATTGTCAGAGGCCGTGAGTACGCCCTGGAATTTGATGCATTCTTTAAATTCGCTATTTGCGGGTTCAGCCCCTTAAATTGCAGGGAAAGCCGGTCCGTATGGACGTTCGACTGAACGCTTTCCCGCAGAGAGTCGTCGGAGCGTGGAACGGACTCCCTGACGAGGTGATCCTCTCAGATACTGTTGACACTTAAACGCAAACTTGATTCTCATTTGCTGAGAAACTGTGACAGATGTAATTAACATAGTGTCAGTAGCAGCAGTTTGCAAGTGCCTCACACCTACGCCGACGTTAAGCCAACATTTGTATTGCTTAGGTTGAACTCTTGCGATGTTTGGATATGAATAGGGAGCGCAGGAGTGAAAGACTTATTCCCTTAATAAAGTGACTTGCTAGCGAATGTGGTCAAATATTTATCGCAAGTTGATTCCTTGCTATTGCTGACGGAGACTATCGGGATTTTTGTGAGACTATCGCACTCTCCTATATTATCCTATCGTCGTAAGACATGATGCTCTGGATATTCTTCATTTAAGACGTCATGTTGTCCAAGAGACCATGTGAAGGTCAAAGACTTAACTGTCCGTATCTCACAAAATCTGTGGACAGAACTGATTAGGTTAATCTTTTGCTCTCAGATTGTCGATGTGAGTGAATGACAGTCGGTGGAGGATGCAGTTAAGAGCGATTTTCCCCAAATTCCCATCCTTGACCAAAATGTGTTCAATACTGGTTCCATCTTCCTTGGGGCACACCCTAATTGTAGGGTTGCATGGGAGATTATATTTGGGCGAGAATATATATATTATGAATGTAAACCGCTAACGGGAACCAAGGATTTATTGTCCTGTCGTTTCGGAATCAAAGAGACTTCCCTTGTCAAATGTGGTAGTTGCACGATTTTTCAGAGTATTTATGGGTTATGTTTTGTCTAAGCATGCTGATGGCTATTGTTATGCGGTCGCGAGCTCGCCTCCTCAGAGGGTGGTGGCGGCGTCGGCGTGATAACGGCAACTGACCGCGTTCACATTGTCTGTCGGTTGTGCTCAGCCGATGGCATGCCGCAATCACAGCTTCCCGTAAAAGTGCAAATGGCGATTGCCATGTTCGCGTTCATGTCTCGGTTGCTACCGCACTGGCGGCCA